CAGCATGTACAAGGGAATTTAAAGTGAAGGAGAGCAATTTGACTCTTGAGTTAGTGTTTTAAGGTATTCCCTAAAATGCTGTCCAATTTTTTTAACTCAATATATTTGTGCCTGATCTGATGTGATCTATATGGTTTTAGTAGTCAGTGAAACTGATACGTATATTTTGTAATGAAAACCAGAAAGTTAGGGGTGGTAGAGGAAGAATCATTCAAATACATATGTACAGACAAATGAGATTGTCAAGAATGTTTTCCTGTCTTGTCAAAAAAAGCTGGTGATCTGTCAAGCAGCCTACTGATAACTCACACAGTTCCTTGGCAGGTGTTTCCAAAGAACTGAGGCTGAGACTTATAAATATTTATGTTGTCCATAATTTTATTCCATTCCCAAACTTACTACACGGAAGGCACACATACTCTGATTTGGCTCCCTTCCACAAGTCCTGAACTGTGAATATGAAACCGGCACTCCCCTGCCTCTCCATCTGTGATGAACCATCAACAGTTTAGTGGAGCTGCCAGCCCTTAAGGCCCTTGGAGAAATTCCATCATACAGCTGAAACTGAGCGTAAATCATCATGTCAAGAAAATACTTCACACATTTCCCTTTTGGTTTTAAGAATCTTTGTCACCTTTCTACAAGAATTTTAAATTTAGGAAAATGACCTGTCCAGCCTGGATTTCAGGTCTTATGCTAGACCTCTTCCAAAAAAATCATATTCAGAACCAATACAACGTAGACATTTTTCCCATTTTTACAGGAGGACTTAAAATCCTGGAGGTGAAAAAAATCCAAATTCCAGCACTACTGGGAGCTTAACTATACTGTCAAGGCGTAGACATTTTTCCCGTTTTTATGGGAGGACTTAAAACCCTGTAGGTGAAAAAAATCCGAATTCCAGCACTACTGGGAGCTTCACTATACTCTCAAGGCATTGGATGTGGCCAGTGGATTGTAAATACTGCTGACTAAAAACTGGAGTAAGACTTAAATAGTAGGAGCTAGTCTGCTGACTGTGCCAAATAAAGGAGGGAGACTTTGAGAAGGGAAACAAATAAACAGAAATAAAAATACATGGAGAGAAAAAGAGTAGGGGAAAAAAAGAGATAGTTTTACAGGTGAGTTTTGTCCTTCACCAACAGTGAAGGAGGAATTTGTTGGAAGAATTGTTTCTAGTTTTTGAATGAAACATCCTTTCAAATATAATGATTACTAGCCCCAAAAGCTCTTTTAAGGACTCAAATGACTGTGCCGTCTAAGTTGATATTTACCACCTCAATCCCATTACAAAAAGGCAGTAATGAGGCAGGAGGCAAGGCAGGAGGGTGTTTCTTTGAACAGAGAGCATTTGATGTAGGCAGGAAAGGTGGGCAAGAGCAGGAACAGCACTGTCTATCTTGTGCACTTAGGATGCAAGACAGACTATCTGATTTATCTGCTGCACCAACAAAATGTGGCCTACCTGCCCTTGCTTTCATGTTGACTACAAAGAATTTTCAAACAAACCAATCCTCCTTAGAAAGGCAGATATTTTGTCTCTGAAAACTCGTTGTCTAGATAGTCTGGGGTAGTCTCACTTGTCTCTGCAACAAGTCAATATCTTGTATGTACTGTCTTTCTAAAGCAGGGATCATATGTCTGAAAAATGTTACATAGAGTTAAGGTAGTCTAGGTTTAGATATATATGATAAGGAATGTATGTTCATTTATAAATTACTTATAGTTTATAAAAATGTATATATGTTATTTGGGTTTTTTTATAACCAGCAATGTCAACACTGTGATAAAGAAGTGACTAGGTCACCTGTGTAACAATGATCTGGATGCTTTTGGTCAAATATTATTTTTAAAAGTAGTAATTCAGAAAACAGTTGTACTGTCCATATGTATGCATGGTATTCTCAATTTAACTTTTATTAATAAGTTGCAGTTCTCTAGTTTCAGTATCTGTAAATCAGAGGTTTAAGCCATTGGTGTGTTTAACAGTTGTGACTACAGATATAAATCATGCTAAATAGCAGTCACTCCTACAGGATGGCGAGTGTGCCCAGTGTCTATATGCAGCACAGGTGTCAGTACCTAGATATGAGAGTACGTAAGCCATGCTCCAGTTACTGAACAGTTTGTGAAACGTAAGCGCCTCTTGGGACAGCTGCCCAAAATTCCGGGTGGTGTCATATGGATATGAGTTCTAGGACACTCCCACAGTGAATTCTGGGGAAAAATGTGTCTCACAGTTTAATTTCATTGCAGAACCAAATTATTAAATCCAGAGCAAGCAGCACCAGTTAACTAACCTGAATTTGAAGAACTTTCACGCTTACCCCAGAGGATTTTTTGCCTGACTGGGTTAGGGATAGCAGCTATGAAATTTCTAGTCAACCCAGTATTAAAAAAAACAGACCAAGAAGAGTTTGGAAAATTCAGCTTCCTCTGAATATCTATTTGCAGGATAAGAATTATTATTATTCTATTTTAGAAGTTTGAAGGGAGAGCATCATCCCATCATGTTCAGTGTGTTGATGTTTCATAGCTCTTCTTCTTTCCATGAACAGCCATTTTAAAGACTGGTAATAAGATAAGTCTCCTACTGTATAATAAATAACTTTAATCTATTTTAGAGTAATTAACTTCTTAATGGCCACAGCTTTTTCCTTAACCTGTTTCACACTAGGCAGATAGGTTCAGAATTCACAGAAATAATTATAATATTTAATTTTAATTAACACTTATAGTGTTTTTACATCTATTAAACACTGATGCAGCATAGACCCGGTGTTCAACGTGTTTTCTCTATATTTTTGACTCATGAAAAATCACATTGAAAGTTGTAGTACTGATCAGGAGATCACAACAGTAGCCTGCAATACCTGCAGAATAAAATGAATGCAACCACTGAGGGCGAAAAGCTTCTGTGCTGCTTTATCTTACTGTGAGAATATAAACTAGTCCCTTCACCTCTGTCCTGACTATAGTGTCAGAATTTTAAACTAGTTGCCAGAAGTGAGTAAAAAAATTATCCTGTCCTCCTAACTTAGTTACTCCTCTGATATTGCTTTCTTCCATGTATATAATTTCTGGTTTGACTTTGATCATACCTCTGCAAAGCCTATATGGTTTTCATTGAATTCCATGGGCTTTTGTGTAAGCCTAAAAGTAGCAAAATTGCCTGCTTACTCAAGGCTTTGAGCTTCGTGTGGACCTATGTAATTATGTAAGTGATACATGGATAGTACAACTTTGCAAATCTTAACTCAAGTGAATAAGATAGAAATAGATGTCTATGCTAGAAGAATTCTTAATAAAGGAAAAAATCTTTAAGATAAACAAATTTCCTTTGTGCTTAGATATGTACAATACAAGCATAGTGTGATACTGCAGACACTGCCAGCTGAGATAAAAAGCTACCTATTTAAAGGCTCAGGCTGTGTACTCAAACTAAAAATATGGATTTTGAGACCCCATCAGATCCCAGCTTGCCCTCTATTTTATGCGTTTATCTGCACAGTGTTTCTGAGTTAAGCTAATGGTTAGGTGCTACAGATAAAAATGTATGCATTCTTGTTATTTGTATTAAAAGTTTTAGACATTTCCTGAGGTGGTAATTTAGGTCCATCTAAGCTTGTGCTGAAGCTGGATTGTTTTGTCCATTCACCAAAGCTGCTGCTCTCTCAGAGGCAGAATTTGCCTGCTGAAAGTTGGTTGATTTTCTCAGGCTGTGGCTGAGTCGTTCCTGTTTTTCCCCATTTCTTTTTCATTTCCTTAAGTGTTTTTCTCATTGAAAGACTGAGAAATATTTTTTCTTTTATTTGCAAAGTTTAGTATCTTTAAAGCCTTCTTTCTTTCTCCTTCTGTTCCCAAATACAAGCACATACTTTTTTCAAGATGGTTTGGTGAGAGAAAGGAAACAATTCTACATCATGTCACTAGTACCAGGATTCAGCACAAGTGCAGTAGAGGGGATAACCAAGATTATCCTGGTGCCTGTGCCCTTAGCAAAGGACCTGTCAGTTGTGTCTTTCATTTCTTGCCCCATCTGTTTTGAACTCTTGCTCTTGCAGCAAGAGCCATCATAGAGCAGCGTTTGTGTTTCCATGCATGCAGTCAAGATGCAAAGTGCAGGAGTTGCATAATGTCCAAACCAAGCTCTACCTTTCTCAGGAACATAAATCAGTTACTCATCTGTTTTGTAGATGTTAAGTCTGTTGTTTGCAACAAATATCCATCCAGGCAGTGCTTGCTTATATCACCCATTTTGGATAAAATGGTTTGTTAGACCTCACAGGAAGTTACTGTGACAATTTCCTTTGCAGTAAATAAGGGTAATGCTGTTCATCTGCTTTGTGGCACATGAACATTAACTATTCAGTCACATCAGTATTTAAAATGAAAGAATATATAATACTTATTTTTTATATATTTAGAATGCCAAATATTAAAGGGAGACTGGCTATTTTAATATCCAGAAAAGGCAAAAGTACCAGATTGGTTACCACAATTGATAAATTTATTGTATGGGAAAGCTCAGCCATGGAACTAGAAGTCTGCCAGAAAGGACAACAAAAGATCTCTTTGAGATTTTATTTGGTTTTAATTTTGTTTTCCGCCGTAAAATTCAAAATGCAGTAGACCTAAAAGTCTTTAAAATATGTGTCATTAAAATTTTTAAAAACATTCTTTTACTTTTTCTTGTTTCAATTAAATAATCTGATACTTCTCTGTTAGATGTTTTAAGGTGGGTTATAAGAACTTAAATGGGTTATAAGAGATGCACGCCAACAAAACTCATCCCCTTTATTGGAAAGACACTGGAAAGAAACAAAGATGAAACAGTTTTGTTGTCCTGTTCAAAAATTCTGGTTGCCCTTTGTGATTCACAATGGCTGCCATCTGTTTGGCCTTTTCCCATCAGTATTCTGCTATAACGATGAACTCTGCAGCATGTACAGAAATTGTTCTCAAGCCTTTGTTAACAGTCCTGATAATATATTTTTTAGGTTTCCTCTACGCTCAGAACAGTACCAAACGCAGCATTAAAGAGCGACTTATGAAGCTCTTGCCCTGCTCGGCTGCCAAAACGACATCTCCTGTTACTCAAAGCAAGTTTTATTTTTCATTTGATTTTTATTTTTTTTTTTAGGTTTGCATGCATCAAAAGTTATACTTTCATTAACTGCTCATTTGAGAGGCAAGATATCTGCTGAAGTAATCATATGCTCTATCATTGAACAATGAAGAGATTTTTGGGCTGGTAACAGATCTGTGCAGAGTAGGATGGCAAGATACTAGTGGCAGGGTCTGCCACACAGGGGCTGCTGGGCTGGCACGATCTGCAAGTGAGTTGAGAAGTGATTCAGTGGTTAAATTTAATACCTACTCTCCATGTGTTTGAAAAGTGGTAGCTTTTTGTGCATATTTATGCATGTCTCTGTATGCTTGCTATCCAATACACAGGGTAATACCAGCAGTACTGCTCTCAGAGGAAAGGCTTGGCCCTATAGGTTTTGAGTATATTACATCAAACTATTTAGGGACTTAAAGTTGGTTCTGAGAGAAAAATAATAATCAGATTGGAAAAAAAGTGTGTGAATATGGAGGTAAAGGAAAAGCACACTGACATTACCCTTAATGTCCTGATATGCTGTGAGGAAATAAAATCTCTCCAGGGTAGGTAACAGATAAAAATAGAGGGACAGAGGGAGTGAGAGATCTCAATACATATATACATATATATACTTTTAGAGAGATTAATTATAGTAGTAACACTAATGTCTTCCTATATAAATTGTCTGCTGTAGCTGATTTTAAAATACCTCTGTGGACCCAGTTCAGTCTAGATTAATTTGACTTAATTCTAGGCACTAATATGAGCACCTAAAAGTAGAAACTGAATGGTTCATGTGCTTCCTGTATACTCTTCTGATAAAGCATATCAATCAATCTAAGGTAAAAAAAGCCTTCAAGAGCAGTTCCCCATGTCTAGTGAATTCAGGACAACCCAAGGCAACTTGGCTATGATCACAGGTCCCTATTAAGTGCCAAGACTTGAGGGGTATGGATCTAGGGTTCCTTTTTGCTATCCTCCTTCACTGTCTTTCGTATGCTTCTCTATAGAGAAAACTGTGGTACTTGCTTTCCTTTCTAAGTATTTGAGATCTCAAAGATGAGAAGCTCTAATTTTCTGGATGCACAGTGATTTTTTTGTTTCATGATGGCTTCATGAAAGTAGGATAGCTTAAAAAGGTGAATTACTGTTATGGTATCTGATAGCTATTCTTTATGTAGAAGTTGCATTCAGCTATATTACCTGAATAAAATAGCTTTAGTCTATAAAAGGAATCATAGAATCACAGAATTGTTTCAGTTGGGAGAGAGACCTTTAAAATAATTTAGTTCAATCCCCCTGCACTAGAGCAGGTTGCTCCAAGTCCCATCCAGTCTGGTCTTGAGCACATCCAGTGATGGGGCATGGAATAAAGAAAGGAGATAAATCAGAATGAATAGAAGGTTTGTTCTAATTGTTTGAAGTTGATTGTAAAGCAATATATCCCTTATTCCTTGCACATTTCTATACAAGCTTCTCATCTGCATAGGTAACCAAAAATATTTAGAGTCAGTTTCAATAACCTTGAACATGTAAATCTTGTATTTTCTTGCTGAGAGTGTTTTATAAACCAGAAGAGAGGTTGCAATAAAACAAGTATTTCATATTTGAGAACCAAGAGGTAAAAAAAGGTGTATTCAACATTTTTCTCTGTACTCTCCTCAATAATGAAGTGCTATCTTAAGTAAAAATGTTATAAATGTTATGTTTTAATGTGAAAACATTAAATAAGATTATCATTGTAGAACACATTGTTATCCCATTTTGACATCATGTGCTATTTAATTTCTGGTAGCATGAAAGAAGCAACATTATAGTGTAGTAGGAATAAAACCAGCACTACATACAGTGAACAGTCACATGATATGAATTTCTTAGAAATTATCAGTGGAATATTTTTAAAACAAATAACTTGCTGAAATTTACATAGCCTGAATTTGCTCTTCTGCACTTAACTTCTATCAATATGTACAGAAAAAAGGTTATCTGAATAAGTAAAATCTTATTTCAGCATTCTTATTAAATATATTTCAGCTTTCCTATCGAACAAAACATTTAAAAGATCATTTTCTTATTTCTGTGCTTTAGTCTAGTAAGTCTAAACTTTAAACCATCATTCCTTAGATAAGTGCATGTGCTACAGATAGGACTAAACTCAAGAATGGTTTTGGAAGACAAAAGCATGTGTGCATGCAGTTATTAAATAGGTAGGGAGGCTGTAATGTGGATTTTGTGCAGGGAAATTCGTGTGCACAATTTTTAGAGATATGAACTGAGCCTAACTTTGGACATGCTTCTCCAGCTGCCATTATTTGAAGAGTATATCTGCTTTTTGCATTGCTTTTGCCATTTTGTTCTTTAATGAACAGTGAAAGTTTCAAAGCCTAGCTCACATAGCAAATACATTAAAAACTGTCTTTAATATTTAGCTATAACAAAGCTACTTGTTCATTAAATCAGTAAGAATGTTTTGTTTGATATATTAATGAGGGAATGTGGATTTGCTTCTGGTTTTCAGTTGGCATGTTATCTTCTATGAAAAACAAGAACTCTCAACTTTCTTAGGCTGAAGAAATTAAAGAACTGAAAAAAACTAATGCCATAGAAATCATTAATGTTTAGAAAGAGATACATTTTCACACATTTTCCCTGTATATTTTAAAGTATAGATTTTTTTTCCAGCCTGGATAACGGTAGATAGAAGTGTGAAGAAAAAAATTAAAAACCTGGAAGTGACTCATGAATGCTGTAGCATTTTAATCAGCATAGTTGGCATATTTTAAGGAAATTTATGGTGATCTTAATTTTTTTATTTTTTAAATCTATAAGACACTACAGAAGTTGAGTGTGAAGGGTGTTATACTGAACCTTTTCATTAACAGAAAGACATCATCACCCCATTGCAGTCTTCTACATTCTCACCAAACCATTTAAATGCAATTAAAATATTTATTGCTAACGATATATAAACATTGTACTCAGCATCACTTTGTCTGGCCTTTTTCTCTAGCCTCACATTTATTATGCATGATCATTTAGCTTCCAGAAAAGCTTGTAGATGTCTCTTTAGGTAGCCAGATGTTTTACAAATGGGTGCTTAGAGAACTCATATCCAGTTAAGTCCTTTTCTGTCTAAACAAAAGCCCATTTAAATCCCATATAGCTATTTGAATATAAAATACAAGTGAGCTTTCAACAATATTTATTCTCAGGTTGATTATTTTGCCAATTAAGTACCTAGTGTTTACTTGCAATTGACGAAAAAAAATTGGCTTTATATTTACAGCATTACATTTTTATAGAGACTATAGTGACTATATAAAAAACTATAAAAGATTAATCCCTTAAAACATAGTGGAAAGGCTTTAGAACCTGTGCAAAATAAACCCTGGATGTTCTTATGCGAAATTATTATGGGACTCAAGAACTTAGCTACACCTTCCTTTGATTAGGAAGACAATTTCTTAATTCTGAAACTATTTTGTTCCAATGTCATCTGTAAAGGCAGAATTTTCAGTACTTCCTCTTTGCACCTCAGGATGTCTTACAGAAGAGAGCTGAGACTTTCTTACAGTCTATCTTGTGAGTTCAGATACTGGCCCTTTAAAACTATTAAACACCGTAAGGTCAATGTAAAGTTAGTTGAGAGTTTTGTCCGTAGCATTTAGACTGGAAATTTCACAAAGATGGTAGTGGTTTGTGAGTTTTATGAGATAATCTATTAAAAAAATGAATCATAGAATCATATTATAGTTTGCCATAAGCCAATACACAATGGACATTCTGAGATAAGACTGGAGGTGGCACTGAAATCATCTGGATAACACTGCAATCATCTTCCTGAGCTGAGTGCTAGCAACAACATATCTTTGACTGGAGAAAGGACAAACCCCTAAATTTTATAAAGATTTATCCGAATAATTTATGTGATTATATCTCTTTAAAGGTTGCTCATTTTTTTGTTTATCTAAACTGTATCTTCTGATGCCAAATTTCTCCCAAACAGCTGAAAGTTATCACTGCACTGTAGCAGAACAAAAGTATGTGAAACTGTAGGCATAATATCGTTTTAATGGACTATTCTAATATTGTGCTCTTATAAATATTGAAGTAAATAAAACTTTATTTTAAGGATGCAGAGTACCAAATTTTGATGAAATTAAATATATATCTTCAACATCGTAGAAGTGACAATTAGGCATGTTCTCTCCTTACATTTCTATAGTTGGTATAACTTAAATCAGAATAAGTCAGTAATTTCATTATATTAGTCTGGAATACTATATAAGTTATGTTTAATGCTTACAGTACTTAAAAATGGATACACACATTCACATTTTTGATCAGATAAATTACCTACTCCCAATATATAAATACAGATTGTAAGTTTCTTTAGCTGTTTTATTGAACTTTCACATTTAAAACTCCACCTGGGAAAAATGCATTGCTATCTGTCATTGTTTTAGGGCTGCACTCAACTATAAGCCTTGAATATGTACATTGGCATTCTTGTTCACCTAAAGAAGAGGTCACTAAGATCATCATGTTACTTAGGCCACTCACTATCAGTAATGTTTGCCCTGAAGGATTAGTTATACCATACTCAAAGTAAGATATGCTGCTGGATGTGCAACATCAATCTCACACACTTTCCAAAGGCCAATTTCACAATAAAAAAAACACTAAAAATCCTAACCTGATACAGTGAATTCACATCCATTAACTAACCGAGGGAAAATTTGCAGTATTCTGGAGTCACTAAAGTTTTATAAAAAATTATTTCCTTTGGTCAAAGAGTTGTAAAAACAGAAAAGTCATGCTGATTGTGTCATGCATGCCCTTGCAGATTGTTGGCTTTCCAGTTTATTGTTATTTGTACTTATGAGATGATATCCAGACCACTGGACCATCATTGCTGTTCTCTATTCTTTGCAGCCACAGAAGCAGATAGATGCCCTTTCCCTGTGAGTTCAAAATGAACACGTCATTTGTCTTTCCTGCAAAGGTTAGGTATTTTTATCTCCTATATTTCTTTTTGAGCTTTCATTCTCTGTCTCTTGTATTCTGCAGACACTGTAGAAGATGAAATGGAAATGGCCACAGTACGACATAGACCTGAAGCTCTTGAACTGCTGGAAGCACAGAGTAAATTCACAAAGAAGGAACTTCAGATCTTATATAGAGGTTTCAAGAATGTAAGCACTTCCTTTTTGAATTTACCATCCATTTACAGGATAGGCCACTGCAATCTCAGCTCTGCAAGTGTGACTGGCAGTGCAGCTCATGGGGTTCAGTAGCTAAATACTGTATATCTGGTCAGGTGAAGAAACAATCTCTCTGTGACAACTGGGCTATTTAATGACCAGAAGACACACAAGAAATAAAAAGCATCCATAAGAGAATTATAACTTAGTATAATAAGACATTGTTCAAAGACTTATTGAAAGTTGCATTAAGGTTGTTTGTCCACAGGTGCAATAATGGGAGAGTCCTGAAGAATTTGGTCACTAAGAGGAAAGATTTTGATTTTTGTATTCACAGTAGCTGTCACAAAAAGTAATTGATGTCAATTGGACTAGAGGAATTTTTCATTTTGTGAACAGCAATAGATGACTTCTTAAGTTCTTACTAGTTCTACAAATCTATAAACTTTTTAGATCGCTTTACTGGCAGTAATTATTTGTGATTTTTTTTTTGCTGATCTGTGTGATCAAAAATATTGGTGGGTCCAATGTTTTTAGTCAGCAGGCATCCCACCTGAGTACATGGGTATAGTGTGACTCCTTTTCCAATGTCTATTAGCTGCCCTGTGGAGCTGGGCTTGTTGTTGGCATGTAAGGCATGCATGGTTATTACAGCAGAGAAATAAGACTCAAAAAGATTTTAGTAAGTAGCATTAAAATCTGTTTACTTAAAAAAAATTTTTAAATCGTTTATTCTACTTTTTTTTATGTGATTAACAATTATGTAGGATATTGCATGCACCTAACATTGGCTAGAAAATACTTGATATTAAAAAAATTAATAATAATAATTGCTTGAAAATCATCTGTGTTTAATGTTAATCTACGTACTCAGCTGTGAGTATTGCAACTGCACAGATGTTTTCTCCTGCTGAGCTGAAGGCAAAGGTGAATTTAATTGTGCTTATCACTTTGTAGTTTAGTTTCTCTCTCACCCTTCTTGTGTGAAAAGGGCTACCTTCTTGGCCTTGGCATTTACTACTCAAATGACGCTGCGTAACAAAGTATAATAATAATAAAAACACAGTGAAGCTCAACTACGGAATCAGAGAGGATATTTTCAATAGCTTATACAAGAAGTGTAAATCTTGCAGAATTCTTAGATGTCATGCATTTTGTAAAGAGAGCAAGCCATGCAAAGGGATGGGTTAGACATACATTCTTATCGAAAGCTTACAATGCGGGTAAGGCAGACTCCCTTAATGTGTCATGTCTATATATCATCCTCAGTTCCAGAAGGTATATAATGTTGGCATGTTAGTGATTAACAGTGATTGCTCTTAAAAGCTTTTCATTTCCTCGGGGTACCAGAGAACATTCCCCTGTTAATGACAGTATTCCCTAGGCATTGCAAATCATGATCAAATGTCCCTCATTCCCTAAGGCAAAAAGCTACAAAGTATAGTGGATAAAATAAGCCTTGTGTCTGTTTCTCTAAGAATAATTATTTTTAGAGTCTCAGAATTGAAAAACTGTGATAATTCTCTGCATAAAATGAGGTATGGAGAAAGAGAATAGGTTGTAAGGAAGTATTTTAATCGATACCCATTTTAGCATTTTTTGAAAAGAGGAATTCCAGCTCTTCATATGCTTCTGTGTTCTAAGAGTGTGCAAGTTCTACTTATAGCAAAGGAGTGTCAATGGTAAGACATGGTAATACATCTTTATTCACGTGTTCCATTTCCTTATCAGTACATGATAATTCAAGACATGCATGTATGACATATCTTTGACTATTTAGAGTTAATGAGCATGATCTTCAGGCATTTTGTGTGTAATATCATTGCAAAATTATCAGTTACTTTCTAAAATGCTGTAAAGCATGCCCAGGGCTAGTGATTGTTATGAAAGTAAATCAGTTTAATGTAGTATTCTTTAGCCCAAGCATTAGACTTCAGAAATGAAGGATTTCAAACTTTTGGTTGAGTTGGAGTTTATTTTGTGTCTCATATTTATCAGTTACTACTGCAAAATTTGGTGCTAGATCAGAGTTCTCCAATCACTTCAGAGAACTGATAGAACAGATCCATCTCAGCTCTATGATCAGCTTACCTATGCTGCACCTTTCCTATCACATATCTACATTTTATCAAATACAATTTGAGTGGCTTTGGTGCATACTGATCCACAACATGGTCTGCACTTAGACTGTCTCCCCCTTACAGTGGTTGATCATCCACTTCTGCCTGCCACATCCCACCTCCCTCCTCGATCCCCTTCTTTCTGATCCAGATTAATGCTATCCTATCGATATCTCCACCCCTGTGTGCTTCATGTGTCTGCTTCATGTAGCAATATATGCTGGGGGTCAACCAGCTGGAAAGCCATCCTGCTTTGTTGGGCATGAGTCAGCAAATGTGTCTGTGCAGCAAAGGCAGCAAATGGCACCATGTCCTACTTACAGCAAAGTGTTGCCAGGAGGTCAGGGGAGCACTGGGAGGCCACACCAGCCCTCCACTCAGCACTGGTGAGGCCACATCTGAAGTGTTGTGGCCTGTTCTTGGCTCCTCAGTAGAAGACACTGGAGACAGTCCAGCAAAGGGTCACAAACGTGTCCAAGGGACTGGAGCACCTCTCCTATGACGAAAGGCTGGGAGAGCTGGGATTGATCAGTTTGGAGAAGAGAAGGCTCAGCAGGGATCTTACCAGCATATATTAATACCTGAAGGGTGGGTGTAAAGAAGATGGAACCAGGTTCTTTTCAGTGATGCTCAGTGCCAGGACCAGTGGGAATGGGCACAGTCCGAAACACAGGTGGTTCCTTAACATCCGAAAACACTGTGATGGTGACTGAGCACCAGCACAGGTTGACCACTGGGGTTGTGTCATCTTCCTGCTTGAAGATATCCAAAAGTTGTCTGGACATGGACCTGGGAAACCTGCTCCAGGTGGGCCTGCATAAGCAGGAGTGTGGAACCATAAATCTCTAGAAGTCTCTTCCAGCCCCAGCCATTCTGTGAGTCTGTGATATTCTGTTTAATCATTCCATTAAGAAGAAAACTCCACTGAAAAGATTTAGTGAAACACCAAGACACACATCTTTAATGTGACACCATCAAAACTTGTGCAGATCCTACCCCTATGCTTTATGCTTTTCATTTGATATTTGCTTTTCTTACTAGCTCTTCAATAGTTTAACTATATAAAGAAAGATAAATTAAGGCATGAATTGAAGTTACTGTAGTTCTGCTGATGTAATTGTCCTGTTGGACCAAATTTACAGTGTCCTACAACACGGTAGTACTAACTGAAAAGTTTTTGGTTACATAATCTCACTCCAACCTGCTTATTTCTCTGAATCCTGTTGAGTTCTAGGATGGCTGTTCTGAGATAGGGTTGAACAGAACTTTTCACAGTTTACCTCCAGTTATTTATTATTTATGACTTCAAATTGCTCAAATATATTATGACTGACTTCAGATGAAAAAGCAACAAATACTCTGTATTTCTGTAGTGTTGGTGATTACAAAGTTTGATTTCTCATGTGTTTTTTACTTATACAAAAATAAAATGGTAAATCTTTAAAGGTATTTCCATCAGTTTGATTTTCCAGTGTAGGCAACTTACAAGCAAAATCCAGGCTGAAGGAGCACAGGGTCTCAGAGAGCATCTCTGTGTAAATGTTAATGCCTGAAAGCTTTAGAAAGTCTCAGATCACACTGTAGGATAGCTGATGCTCTGAGGAAGCAAGAGGTAGAGTATAACTGCAGGGAATGCCCAAAGACAACTGAAATGCCTATTGGGACAATGGCTGTTTTGGTAGAACTCAAGGTCAGCATTTAAGATAAAAGGGGAGATACACTAAGGAAATTTAAGGAGTTTGGAAAAGCACCTTCGGATGACCCAGAAAATATTATAAAGAAAATTATCAAGGGAGAACTTATGTCTGTATTAGGTAATTTAGCCATTTTAAAGCTTCTATACTGTCCTTGAAAAATGAGCATAACAGAAGTCCTAAGCCCTGCTCAGACTCGAAAGGTTGTCCCCAGCACTCTGGTTTTAGAATGCTCCTGTGCTCTTGTTGATGAATTGTTGCTCAGCTGCCATCACAGTGGGACCTCTCTCCATTTTGTATTTGGCTTCCTGTCATCCCCTTTCTTGTAAATTGAAATTGTGATTGCTGCAGTCATTAACCTTTCAAACCAATGGCTCTGTGGCAGGCCTAGTACAAGTGGTACTTCACAATAAATTGTACAGACTATCAAGCATGCACTCAACATGTGGTCTTTCTTTCTCTTTTGTCCATTGATAGATCTCTCACAGTTTTACAAACATGCTGAGCTATAGCACATTTCCATTTTAAAAATACTTAGATAATGTTTTGCTGCACAAAAGATGCTCCTGTGCTAAACTTAGATGTTAATAATCTTTTAATTTTCGTTGATTATTCTCATAAAAATTTTCGTAGAACTCTGTATTGGGAAACTACTAGACTTTGCAAGAAAACTGATTTTTCAGGAACATTTATCTTACCCGGCTGTATATCAGAGAAAATGTAAATTAAAGTCATGCATGTATAAAAACATCCTTGGAAACATACTGTAGCTTTAAATACGTTTTTCCATACTTGTGACATTTATTGGGAAAACAACATTTTTAAGATAACTTTCTTCCCTTTTGCAAATGAGGCAAACAATAATAAGAAAATGTTACAGCTCCAAGATTGATTCGCTCATCACACTACCCATCATGTGCATAACTCAAAATATGCTAATTTATTCAAAGATTTTCCATTTCAGTTATGGTTTGATGGAAGCATTGTATAGCTGTATGTTGTATTTGTAAGTCTCACAGAGAGTTTAATGAAAGCTAGTTTTAAAAGTGATAAAGCTCATTTATTGAGAGGTGATAAAGCTCATTGTTGATTGTCTAAAGCATTTAAGTTTTGTATGATAAAATACAACTCTCATTGTCCTTTTATGGAAAATTCTTTGCCTTCTGTTTAATCTTCT